TTTCAGGAGTAGCTGCTCATTCTCCCAACGTATGTGTAACATGTACGAAAAAACTCTTACTAGAGCAGTTTGGTGGTAAAGAACTCTTGTTTCCTAATGAGCCTCCTCCGTGGTACAGTGAGTTTCCCTCATTATTCATAGGAGTATCTTATCGTGTTGACTTGCTTTTTAGAGCCTCCAGAGGCAGCTGCCCAAGAAAGCCCGTCCTCTGCCAAAGATCAGGAAAGAGAATCCAAACGAAAATCGAGGAAGAGGGGCAACCAGGTGAGTTCCATTTTATCTGCTTCTCCGTAAGCATATATCTTTTTGAGGAGACCAAAATGGTTATTCCGAAGGAGGAGATAGACGATTACCTATTAAAACTCTCGGTCGGATTACCAGATGGAAAATTGATGTTTGAAATAAAGAAATACAAAAAAGTCTCAAAGTAATGTGGTTGTTGCTACAGCTTCTGTTTTTGACCGTCTTTTTGAATTTTTCAGGGAAGCTGCACGAAAGCTGTTGGTTGAAATACGTCGACGTGCAAAGAAAGAACGACTGGAGCGAGATGGAGACGACAAAGAAAAAAGCGAAGTCGTTAATGTAGGGTTTTCGCGGAGTTTTTACATTGAATTGATCTATACTACCTTATATCTATTTCATCTCAGCCTCGTGAAAATCTGCCATGGGCTCCGAGTAAAAAAGACCTCTTTCCGCGTGGTCTGCTTTCGGTAGGTTTACACTTTCTTTACTGGTAGGATTACTGTCAACGATTTCATTTCAGAAGCTTAGTCAAGAAGAACAGCAAAGATACCTGGCAACTTGTCAGAGTATCATGAATACTGGCGAAATCAGATTTGCCAGTAATCTGAAGGAGTTGGCGGTATGTTGAATTCTGAATATTCTTTTTGCTGAGCTACTACGTGTATCTTTTCCAGGATTTTCAAAAGCAAGCGCAAGAGGAGCGCGAAAATATCGAAAATCTCGTAATTGATGCTATTGAAAACAATCTAGAAGGCGATACTACATCTGCAAGTTCGCATCCGCTACAATACAATCACGAAATGGCTGCCGATTTCATCCTGGTTAGTGCACGGCATAATAAATGAAGAAAATGCAAGTTTCAACTTAATTTTCTTTTCAGAAACGCTGGGAAAAGAGATGGCATGATGCCAAGTTCAAAACTCAGTTTGCATCATCAACTCCTCAGTGTTCGATTGATTGGAATATTCGTGATATTCGAGCTGATCCGGAGATTCGACCAATGCTAACTGCAACGCTGCTGAAAGGACGAGTTGATAGAATTCAGGTAATAGTGTGATAATGATAATTTTCTCGATAAAAAATGGCAGTAAATGTCTTGTATTTAGTGCTATAACATCTTTTGTGCTCAATGAAGTGCTAGCATGTGTGTTAGCGACTTGCAAAACTGTTACCACGATTTGCAAAAAACGTTAGCAGCGAGTGGTTTCGATCCACCGACCTCTG